ACTATAGACTTATTATTATGATGGCAGTAACATTACATGATGATCTGGAAATGATGCTACTTTGTTGATGTGTAGAACAATGAACGTATTTCTATATTTATTAGTTCTTAATGGTAACCATGTAGATGTGCTACATTTTCTAAAGTGTAAGTCAAATTTGTTGTATTTTTGTAGTCCAAAGTCGTAATTTTCCATTCGCGAATTGTTATTTGGCATACTACACTTATCAATAGTCAACGAAGAGTGGAAATCATGTTATTTGCAAGAAAAACTTAACTTAATATGAAATGCTTTTTAAAACTTGTTATTTTTCTTGCTATACTTGTAATTTTCCATTCAAATGTGGGAAAAACATCATTTTAACACAACTTAACTTATTATGAAATGCTTGTCATAACTTGTTATTTTTCTTGCTACACTTGTAATTTTCCATTCAAATGTGGTAAAAATGTCATGTTAACACAAACTTAACTTATTATGAAATGCTTATCATAACTTATTATTTTTCATACTACACTTGGCTAATCAAATGTGGAAATAATCTCAATTCAAACTGAAATATTTAATAATAACAAATTCAACTATCATTTCAGTAATACTAATTTATTTGAGATAATGTATAATTTATTTTTCATGCAGTTCACAAAATAACCCATCTAGGTTTTTACCATTAACAACTGATAAATATAAAATAAGGACATTGTTGTGCCCATCAACAAAATACTAAAATTTTCAGAGTATCATGTAATGTTATTGCCATCATAGTAATAAGTCTGTAGTTACAACACCACCATGAAAAATTACAACAATGGTATGTGAAATAACAAAAAACTAGTATATGTTTGATAGTAACCATTTTTTGCAATATTTAGTGACAAGTGCACATTAAGATAGTCGATCTACTTAATGTTCTCTTATCACCAAACACATTAAGTACATGCAACTACTGTTTGGTAAATCTAGGCCGTTACTGAGCTATCTGAGTTGGTATTTTATTTCACTGTCAAATAACAAGAATGGTAAGCCAAATGACAAGAGTGGTAAATAAAATAATAATTTTATGATTGAGTTTCTCATGCGATTAAGTTTCATGAAAAGTTGTTATTATTTTCACATTTGACTACCAATTGACAAAAGAGATAAGCTAAATAACAAGTTTGGTAAGCGAAATTACAAGCATGTAACTGGGGTTCTGATGAAATTAACTTCCATGAAAAGTTGTCATTATTTTCACATTTCACTATCACATGACAAAAATGGTAAACCAAATGACAAGAATGGTAAGCAAAATAACAATTCTGTGATTACGTTTCTCATGAAATTGAGTTTTATGGAAAATTGCCATTATTTTCACATTTCACTGCCAAATAGGAAGAGTAGTAAGTCAAATAACAAAAGTAAAAAACCAAATAACAAGTTTGGTAAGTAAAATTATAAGTTTGTGATTGGGTTTCTCTTAACTTCAAAACATTAAATAGATTTATATTGTTACCATTTAGAACTGATAAATAAAAAATATTAGCATTGTTTTGTCTATAAACAAAAAACTAACATTTTCATATCATCATGTCATGTTGCTGTCATTATAGTAACAAGTCTACAGTTACAACACTACCAAATGAAATTACAACAATAGTAAGCCAAATAACCAAAAAAAAAAAAACAAATGTGCTTTGACAACAACCAATTTTTGCAAAATTCAGTAACAAGTACATTTCTAACTAACTGCAACCTCCTCCAATTAACATCTTCCATCACTAACTTCACATCTCATTCTCTTTCACTGCATAACTTAGTGACCCACACTGCAAGCCACCAAGATGAAGCCATGTCAATCGTGAAGCATACTAGTAGTTTGGGTAGATGGAATTTCATCCTGTCTAACATTGATTATGTATACAATCTCTAAAGCACCATTGCTATTAACTTAAATCTGATTACTTTTGCCAACTAGCATTAATGATGGGTCACCAGTTTTTTTTGTAATAAAGATCGATGACATGGCCACAAGCTCAATCCCATTGATAAATGCATAGGTAGCTAGATGATTGGCGTTGGAAGGGAGAGGAATAGAAGGACAAAAAGAGGGAGAGGGAGAGGAAGAGGAGGATGGAGAGAGGGAGAGAGAGGAAGAAGAAGGGAAGAAGGAAAGAGAAAGAGATGGGTTATGCCATTGATGGGTTAGATTATTTAATTGGATGTTAGAGAATACTTAAATCAAGTACCCTAAGGAAGATTATGATTAGTTTAACTAGGTCAAACAATTTGAATTGCAAATCCTGCCAGCTATAATATAAGTTATATTAATTTATATTATCCATATTAAATATATGTTAAATAAATAGTGATATATCTAGAATTAAATCTGGATTCAAAATTCAAATTCATAATTCTGACAAGTTAAGAGTTATTTGAATATTCAAATTCAAACTAATGAATTTAGTGGATATTTTGCCTTCTTAAAATACCTTTGGCCAAAGCTACAAATAGATGCCTCCACCCATTAGTCCAACTCACCCCAATCGTTGAGTTATCCAACTATCTCTCATCTCTCTCTATAATGTTCTCTCTTGTGTGGTGCTCTGTTATGCCACTCAAGTTTAGTCTCTAGTAGTCTAAACCTTGTGTGAGCCTGAGCAGATCAAGGGGAATGACCTAGATCCAAACATGAATCTGAATTGATATGCGCTTCTTGTTTATATCTATATTTTTGACATAAAATGAAACAACTCTGTAGGTTGAAGCAATAGATCATGGAAGATCGATAAATAAAATAATAGGTAGTTTCTTAAACACAAAAATTTCTAATGAACTTGCCCTTTTGTGTTTCTCTCATGTTTGCAATATAGCTCATTTTTTGTATTACTAAAATAGGGGAGACCTTCATAATATACATATTATGCATAGATATATACATAATAGCTATATGATGGAGGATGCCCCTCGTCTAGGCGTTATTCCTCATTTTCTTATATTTTCGGTGTATAAACCTGCTTTGGGAACGCTGTTTGATATGCCTCTTCGTTTTGTCATGCTTTAAGTGTATTTTACCTCCTAAAATAACAATCCACACTGGGATCCATTTTGGAACTCTTTTTCCTAGCTGCGTACATCATCCATCATGGTTTTCATAGGGTCACGAAAAAAGAAAAAGAGCTGAGGGACCTAATTCAAAATGAAGCAAAATTATAATGTTCTCCATATTAATTTTTCCTTTTAAATTTTTTTATTATCCCATCAAATTATCCATTATCCCATTATCTCATTGAGTATTGTCGAATGATTTTGGTAATCCCATATCAGAGTAGTTTTGGATTCTCCCATGTTATGAGTCATGCCTAACTTTTAAGAAGTGGGCTAATTATTTTTATCTTTTAGTTTATCTTTTAAATTTCCTATTTGAGTTGATTCAACGAGTAAAAACAATATGTTCATTGTCCTTTTTTTCATTTTATTAATTGTTTTATATTTATCATAAAAAAATAGGGTTAAGGTGTATCCAGCACTATGAAATATTTTTTTCGGGTGCATCCAGCATCTTAAAGTATTTTTAGGTACATCTAGCACCCCCAAGTATTTTTTAGAGGCACCCAGCACCTTGAAGTATTTTTTTTTGTCTTGGTACTGGCCGGATGCAACAAAAATATTTTTTGGGTGCTGGACGCACCTAAAAAAATACTTTGAGATGTTGGATGTACCAAAAAATACTTTACTGTGCTCAATGCACTTAAAAAAATATTTCAGAGTGCTAGACGCATCGTAAAATACTTTAGGATGCTAAACATATTTGAGAAAATATTTTAAGAGTGTTGGATGTACCTTAACCCTACAAATTATTAGTTGGTAGAGCTTGTTTTGTTTATTAGAAAATTTTATATTTAATTAGGAATATTTAGTGAAAAAAATTAATACTTTAAAAAAGTTATTATATTATGAAATATATTAAAAACTTAATTAGCCACTCTGTTAGAAGAATGCAGTTCATCTCTCCCCACATTTTACGCCTAAATTTATGACACGTATTCCAACATCGGCGGCTACAATTAAGCGCTGCATCACATAAAAACAATATTATCATTAATATTATAACAATAATAAAAGGCATTTGCCTGATTTGGGAGATATATTATATCTTTTTGAATTTTCCCCAAGGACAAGTGTCATGATTCTGGAACATTAAAACTCTGCCTTGCCCTCTTCACAATCTTAAAGTAACGCCTTGCTCATTGAATTCGTATTGTCAGCGCGCGCGCGCGCAGAACCAAATGCCCACGCGATGAATGAGGTGTTACTACTAATGCATTACTTAAAACTAGTATGAGTGTCTAATAATCAAAATAATAAAAAATGTATCTTAATAAACTTTATAACGAATCAGATGTTTAATGATAAAGAAGAAAGTCAAAAAAAATTTACATAGTTAAGGCTTTTAAAAATCATAAACTAAAATTATCATCAATGCTTTTCAAAGTAAGAATTATTTATAATTAACTTTTTCGATCTAATAATGATGTAGCAAAATAATTTTATTTTATATCTTAAATGATCAATTGATTAAAAAATATTTGTTAATATAATAAAATATGAATAAACTCTGTTACTTGTACAATCATAAAAATAACTTCATTAAAAGGATAAAATATCTTTTCATTTGTTTATCCTAACTAATATCTGGCAATAAAAATTCATAATAGATCCAAATCGATAACATCATCATTGTAACGTAAAGAATATATATATATAGAGAGAGAGAGAGAGGAGAGACACATGATGAAATTATTATCGAGCTTATATAGTTACTAACTAGAAATTATTATCCACTTCCGTATCTTTTGGATCTTGACTTGAGCATCGTTTTATTCATTTAGCCGGGCAGACCCAAGGCTGGGCATTTCTTATATATTATCTCTTAGCAATTCATTCCCTACAATGCACGTCGTTTCTCTTACTTTTCCTCTCTTCGAACACTATAAATATCGCCAATCTCTTAAACCACCAAGCAAAGCAATATATTTCAATACCCCACAGATCATTACACAGACAAACCATGGTTTCACTTAAACAAGGCGCTTCTGTCTTCTTACTACCTCTCTTGCTCGTTTTTTCCATCTTCGAGAAGTCCCACGCTGCAGGAATCGCCGTCTACTGGGGCCAAAACGGCGGCGAAGGCTCCCTTGCCGCTGCTTGTAAGTCGGGAAACTACAAGTTCATTAACATAGCTTTCTTATCCACCTTTGGCAATGGCAAAACCCCACAACTCAACCTCGCCGGCCACTGCAACCCCGCCGTAGGCACCTGCAAAGGCATAAGCGCCGACATCAAAACTTGCCAGAGAAAACGCATCAAGGTGCTTCTCTCCATCGGGGGCGGCTCTGGCAGCTACTCTCTTAACTCTGCCAAGGAGGCCAAGAAACTTGCGAAATACATTTGGAACAACTTCCTCGGCGGAAGTTCCAAGTCACGGCCCTTAGGCAACGCCGTTTTGGACGGCGTCGACTTTGACATCGAGGCTGGTGGGGGGCAGCACTGGGATGAACTTGCTAGAGCTTTGAAGAAGTTCAACAAGAAGCTGATCCTCTCCGCCGCCCCTCAATGTCCATTTCCGGACTCTCACTTGAGCTCCGCAATCAACACTGGCCTGTTCAATTACGTTTGGGTTCAGTTCTACAACAACCCTCCATGCCAGTATAGAAGTGGGAACACTAAGAATCTTGTGAATTCATGGAAACGATGGACCAAAGTGAAGGCTAGCCGGGTGTTTTTGGGGGTTCCGGCGTCAACCGCGGCAGCAGGTAGTGGGTTTATTCCAGTTAATGTTATGAAGTCTCGGGTTCTTCCGGCAATCAAGGGGTCTCCGAAATACGGCGGAGTCATGATCTGGGATAGGTTCAGCGATCGCAAAAGTGGGTATAGCAAGGCCATTATCGGTTCTATCTAAGGAACTCATCAGGTGTAAGCATTTGAATAAGTAGCAGATTGGTGGGTTTTCTCCTACGTGTTGTAAGCTACACAAGTGATATAAAAACTTCTATATGCAATATCTCCATGTAATGTGAATTTGAAATAAACAATAAAATATATAGTGTTTCCACTTCAAACTTTCATATCGTTCTGACATTATACTTGTAACATCCCCTTTTTTTATCATTAAGATTTAAATAATATTAGGAAAAACTTATTTCATAGTAAGTGAAATTTACCATACAATTATTCAAGTAAAGAACGCGTACCCAAAATTAAATATAAAGCTTATTTATATATTATGGAACTTACCATATATACTATTCAAGTTAAATATTAGGGAATTAAATATAACATCAAGTCATAATTTTTTAAAAGCATAACAAATAACAAAGTTGAGTAAAATAGATAAATCATTTTCCACTTTAAAATATTTTAATTATCTATATAATATGGAACGTATTTATCAGTTAACATTAACCCTTTGAATTTTGAAGAAACTTGGAAAATCATAAAAACTCAAGAGTTAGGAGTAAAAGAAATTATAAAATTTGGATTAGTTTGTATGATTTCAGGTTGAGATTAAAAAAAAAAATTAGTTCTTCAATTTTTAACTCATTTACAACTCATAATCCCTCAACTATAATTCGGTGGTCACTGTTACTCAATCTGTGAATCTTTAATTTGCTTATATCTCAATCCCTTATTTTTTTATTGTGAATATAAATTTATCCTTCACTCATCAAATGTAAGTGCCATACCACATTTCGCATCCCAGTAAAGCGCCATATCACCTTGTGAATCAGAATCAGTATAAGCAAAAAAGAAAAGCTTTTTTTCTTTTGGGAAAATTTCATTTAACCTCTACTATAGCTAATTTATATCTAAATGCCCCCATAAAAATCTGAAACTTCACTACAGTCTCATAGACATAAGATGAAATTACTTTTTGAAACAAAAAGACATTATTGTCCTGAAATTTGTTGCATCAAAAACTCACTCATCATGAAAGCTGTGAAAATTTTTCCTAATCGTCATTGTCCTAGAGTTTGAAAACCAGGGAATTGCCTTCAAACCTGTCATCATGGGCAAGTAAGAATATTAAAATTCCTATGCCACATACAAAATTCGTATGAACTGTTGATATCTATGATCATCGATTATGGTCTAAACTGCAAAACGACAACTGGGAAATCATGTAGGGGATTTCTGGAGACATGCATACTCAAACAATTTACCAAGAAAACTTTGATTTCTGAAAGCACAAATCTTTTTGATATGGTGCCAAATAGTTTGATTGTCAACTATAATACAAACAAGATAAACTAATGAAATAATCGAACAAGAAAATGCCTATTTTAAAATTCTTTATCCACCATTTTATTCTAAACTTGAATGTGGGATTTCTTTTACTCCTTCCATCACAAAGTTGTTAGAGTCACAAGTCATCTTCTAATTTCACACGTCTTTTCATAAATTCCAATTTGAGAATGAGGCTGGGTCAACATCCAGAACATAATTTCCTTACCAGTGATCTATATCTAAACATGGATAACCTTGAGAAGACACATATCTAATATCCTAATTTTTATTCATACTATTCAAATATTTAGGAAGAATAATTATTTTATGGTAAATATAATTTTACCTTATAATTAATTGAGTAAAGAGAGTTTTACCTAAAATACGATTTATAAAATAAAAAATATTATAAGATGAATTAACATTAGGTAAAAAAAAGATAGAGATAATTAGAATTGGAATAATTTATTAAAAAAAAGAGAGAGGGTAAATCTGCAAATTTGGGCTTTGGGCCCATTAGGGTAATTTGCCCTAATCTTTCAATATATATAAGCCCTGGGGTCCGACGATTCGTAATTTCTTTCTTCCCCGTGTTGGTTCGGCCGCCCTCCTCCTTCCCTTTTCAGTCTATAGTCTAATTTTGCAGATATTTCTAACAAGTAAAATAATTTCTTTTCATTTAACTCTCCTTATAAAAATTATTCTACTCATTTAGATCTATCTAATGATAATAATTTTGTGCTGCTTAGAGAAAATTTTTTGATCTAGGATTTGGGGCAAGTATGGATTTTTGTTTATTGATGACCATAGTATTATAGAGTTATTTAGTTAGAGCATTTTTACCATTTAGTTTTATTTATTGGGTGACTAGATATTTTTAAAATAATTATCTTATCTTAAAAGTTTCTTATTTGATAGAAATCTGATATTTATACTATGAAAAATCTGACTAAATTATTTATTTATATATACTTGAGATACTATGAAAATTTTGATGGTTTAGTTTGAAAGTTTAAATGCGAAGTGAGGTTTTAGAACTTAAAATGTAATAATTTCAGATTTAATAATTTTGGGTTAAAAATTCTTTTATTCAAGCACATAATTTGGAGGATGTTACAAAATTGTAACTTAGTGCTAAAATATTTAATTTTGGGCTTTGAGAGTTTTAGGAATTTAGAAACCTTAACATATATATATAAGCATAGTTAATTAATTAAATAGCTTATACTAATATGTGATTATATTAATGGTGTAGATTAATTATTGGTTTGAACATAGGGTTGACCTTATGGTAATCATTTTCTTTGTTCTGACGAAAGGTAACCACTTTCTACTTGTTATATTTGCTAATATATTCTTAGTGAGTTTTTTTGTTGCTATTTTGTAATAATGATATGTTATACCTTTTGAGCTATGAAAATTGTCTCATGGGATATTTGCAATTGTAATTGAGAAGTTTGAAAGAAATATTTAACATATGATTTGTATTATGTTGAGGAAAAATTAACACATTTCTAGTTATATTGTAATTAATTGGTTGTTATTTGAATTTTGAGTTAGGTCCTATTCTACCACATGATAAGCCCACTATTGGTGCACATTGGTTAGTTTTCTTCGTCCCCTATCATGAGTGATGTAACATCCTGAGTTTTATCGGGTTTTAATAACCTCTTTTGGTTGATTTTGAGGATAAATTAGCGATTAATGTTGATCTTGGTGTTAGGGTTGTATTTGAGGTATGTTGGAGGAATAGGTGAACAAACCCCTCTTAGGATATGTTCTCGCCGCGGCGAACTGGGAGTTCCAGGGGGAGCTTTGTCTTTCGGGCAGGTTTGGCCGCGGTGAAGTTGTTCAGGTGAGCAACGTTTCCCTCTCGGGAAGGTTTCGCCGCGACGAAGGTTTCTGGGCAAGCGAGAATTTCCCTTGGGAAGTTTTCGCCGCGGCGAAATCAGGTTTTCAGGCGAGTAATCCCTCTCGGGATTAGTTCGCCGCGGCGAAGGGTGCCGAATCTATATAATCGCAGGAGAGTCTGTGGGTGCGAAAATTAGAAAATCTGAAGGAGGAGAGAGAAGCTCTGCTAGGGTTTCGGTGTTGTGGCTTGGGAAAGGCATTTCTAAGGATCCATTACCTCAAGTAAGTGATTTTAACCTCTAATCTACCTTCTTTCTTGGAATTTCTGAGGATTTATGGTGAAACCCTAGAGTTTTCTAGGTTGTTATGGAATTGAGGTTTTTGACCAATTGTTTTGAGTTTAATTGATTGCTTTGGGTTGGTCTAAGTATTTAATCGGTGTAGTTTTCTTGGATTTAAAGAACCTTGAGTTTTGAAGCTACGGTTTATGGAAATGGGAGGTTTGTGATTGAGGATGTCAATGTAGAGGTTGATTTTGAGTTTAGTGATTTGGGTTATATTAAGGAGAGTTAAATTGAATGTTTAATCGGTTTAGAATGTTATTAGGACTTCAATTGTTCTAATGGGATGTTTGAGTGTTGAATTTCTTATAGTGGGTCCTTAAGGTTATGAGTTTTAATTGATGTTTAGAAAGGAATTAAGGTTTTAATGGGATTTTATGACCTTGGAGTGTTGCCTTGATAGTTATACCCTTTGAGTTGGGTAGAGTTTGGTTGGAGTTAGGAATTTTTGTGTCCCCTAGTTGTTGTTTTGGCCACATTATTAGTTGAAAGCTAATACATGGTGGTTGTGTGTTTGTGTGCTTGTGTAGACCGGTTGTGAGCCTTGTTGGTGCACGGGGCCTGTTGTTGGTTTGTTTTTCCTTGCTCAGGCAAGAGGTAACCACTTTCCAATCCTTTGTACATACTTTTGTGGTATTGTGAGTGGATTTATGTTTTGTGCTCCGGATAACAAATGTGTTCAAAGTGTATGTTGTATATTGAAAAGGAAAACCGTCTTATGGGGTTTAAATTGATATTGATTGAATTTGTAACTTGTGAAAGATAGGCCACTGAAAGAAGTAAATTGTGAAATGATTATTTACTTTTGATTATGGTTTGAGCATGATGCATGAATTGGGAATTGGTGAGAGTTTTGATTGTTACTACCACGTGGTAAGGCCTCCATTAATGCATGATGGTTGGCTCTTTACGTCCCCCATAGTGAGGGATAGGCCTTTTGACTCCTTACGTCCCCCATAGTGAGAGATAGGCCGGGTTTGGCTCTTGAAAATCCCCCAAAGTGAGGGATATAGTTGATGGGATTGCATCATTGCACTTGCATACTTGTTGTGGCTATCATTTATCATATTACTTGTGAACTGCCCCACTTGACACCTCACGAGCACCTATTTAGTAGTACCTTGAATTGGAAAGATTGGTTACCGGGACGTTGTCTCACCCCGTGGTTTACAATGTTTTCAGGTGAAGGTTCCGGGCGTGTGCCATCAGGAAGAGACGCAGAGGCTTGAGCTTGGTTAGCTTTAGGTCTCTAGCCCTTGTATATGTATGGCTAGTATATATTGCCACATTTAGGATCCCTTTTAAAATATTTTGATTACCTGGCCTTGTTGTAAACTGGAGAGAATGTTATCTCCTTATTTTGGTTGGCCGGAGGCCATTTCTAGTGTCTTAGGAAACTCTGATTTTATTTTGCTGGAAACTATTTGGATGGACTGATGTGATGTCTGTTGTTACCCGGGCCGGAGGCTCGGAGGCCCAGTGAATGTTAATGAATGATTTCTAGTTGCATGCAACAGAGTGTGGTTTTGACTCTTGTTTGAATATTAATTTCTAAAAATATGCAAAGTTCTTTCTACTATGGTAGTTCCTTTTAACAGCTTTCCTGTTCTACCATAGTAGTGATTTTTATGATGAGTTTATAATGTGTTGA